AATTGTATAGTAAAGGAGCTAACAAAATTCTCTCCAGAATCCTTTCTATCTTCAAAGTTTTTTGGTTTTGCCAATATTAAGTTTGGTGATTCCTCAAAAAGCTACACAGAGAATCGCCATCTAACCCAGCAATTCCACTCCTAGGTAGTTATGCAAAAGACTTGAAAGCAGGAACTCAAGCAGATGTTTGTACACCAGTGTTCATTACAGCATTGTTTAGAATAGCCAAAAGGTGGAAAATACCCAAGTCTCCATCAACAGATGAATGAATAAACAAAATGTGGTATGTGCATACAATGAACTCAGACGTGAATTAAAGGAAGTTGTAATACATGCTACAACGCGAATAGACCTTAATAACATCGTGCCAGGCGAAGAAGCCAAACACAGAAGGATAAATATTGTGCAATTCCAGTTACATGAAATATCTAGAGTAGGCAAATTCACAGAGACAGAAAGTAGAGGTTACCATGGGCTAGGGAAGGAAGAATAGGGAGTTATTGCTTAACAGGTACCAAGTCTCTGTTTGGGCTGCTGGAAAAGTTTTGGAGACAGATAGTGGCAATAGCTGCACAACAGTATGAATGTCATTAATGCCACTGAGTTTTGCAGTTAAAAATTGTTAAATGGCATATTTAATGTTTTATATATATAAAACACATGGTGTGTATATATATATATATATATATATATATATATATAAAACCACACACAAAAAATCTTGTAGTTCTATCTCAGATTTTTCTTTGCAATATGATAACATCCAGATTGGAGAAATGAATGCTACTTGCATTTCTTTTTGAGACGAAGTCTTGCTCTGTTGCCCAGGCTGTAGTGCAGTGGTGCAACGTCGACTCACTGCAACCTCGGCCTCCCAGGTTCAAGCGATTCTCCTGCCTCAGCCTCCCAAGTACCCAGGACTACAGGCTTGTGTCACCATGCCCGGCTAATTTTTTTGTATTTTTAGTAGAGACAGGGTTTCACCATGTTAGCCAGGATAGCCTCGATGTCCTGACCTCGTGATCTGCCCTCTTCATTCTCCCAAAATGCTGGGATTATAGGCTTGAGCCACCGTGCCCGGCCAACTACTTGCATTTTTATACCTTCTGCAGTCCTGAATGTGGGCTCTAGGATCAGTTTACCTGGGTTCAGATTTTCCCTCTCTCACTTACTACCGGTGCCTCCTGGAGCAAGGTACTCAAAGTGTTGGAGCCTAGTTGCCTCATGTGTGAAATAGATATAATAATACCTACAACACAGAGTTGTTTAGAAGAAGCTTACGTTGTGTCTGGTATGAAGCAAGTGTTTACAAAAGACAGGTTATCGCTATTCCTTGAAAAGCATGCTCAAGTGGCAGTGGAAGGTAGAGAGAGTCAAACACTAGAGTGCCAAATGACGCTGGGGCCAAAGTTTCTATCACCCTTGACTCTGAGTTCCTGAGATGCTCCCACTGACATGATCCGAAGATGATGCTCTGACTCTAGTCCCAGATGATCATGAGACAAGAAAATACTCCTTGAAACTCTACCCAAGCCTACACCGTCCTTCCAATTTAAGGCAGAGATATGGCTCTAATCCTACAGTAAACAGTACACACTGCCCCTAGCATCAAGTCCAAACACTTGAATAAGGAAGGGTGCTTTATGATCTGGCCTGTTTACCTGTTTCACCCAAATTCTCACCACACCTCACCTCACCCTTTATGCTCCAACCTTGCTGACTGCTTACAGCTCTGCCTGGAAGGCTCCTACCTCCCCACTTTACCTGGCCGTCCCTTCTCCATCCTTCAGGTCATCACTTGGACATCACCTCTTCCAGGCAGGTTTCTCTGACTCACCTGAGCTGAATTAGATTCTCCTATGTGCTTGCATAATCTTCTGTCTTCTATTCCCCAACATTGCATACTGGTGTTATTGCCCATTTTCATGTGTCTCTCCAATAAGACTATAAGCAACTTGCATTATTAACCATTTCATCCCCAGTATCTAGCCTACAGTGCCTGGCTCATAGAAACACGTTAGTTGCGTATGAATGAACATGAATGGATGGAATAATAGTTGGATAAATGACCTGGTATTGGTTCTATAAATTGGATCAAGTTTTGAGATGGCAGTGTCAGCTCTTTTGCCTCCTTCAGACCTTTATCAGACTGTTAGGGAACTCCTGACGTTGTGTCAATATTAATGGGGAATAGTAACTGACAGCATAGGTCCCAAACAAGGAAGGCAGGATGTTTGTTAATTTTTTAGGACCTTTGCTGAACCCAACCATCCACTTTCAAATAGATTTATATACATGGTTCCTTACCCTCTAGCATCCACACCTACCTGGTTCTTACCTTTCCTACTTCTGCTGATTACAGCATCATCTGAGCTGCTGAAATTTAAAATCCCTCTCCTTTTTTGCCTCTTTCTGTAGCCCCCAATCACGATGGTCCCTCAGTTCAGTAATTTGACTTCCTATCTACGTCCACTTTTCTATTTCTACTGCTACTATTACAAAATGCTTTGTATAGGAACAAAGCTTTATTAAAGAATAAGTTTCCTCCACATTGTGAAATCACCAAGGACACCTGGGTAATGTAGCATCATTTAATACATCATACAGACCCAGGCTAGCCTCCTGTTTTCTTTAGCATCTCTAGGAAACCAGGAATGTCAGAATAGTCAGATTCTCATAGCAGATACAGGACCAATTTTAAACGGCCTTGCATGGGGCATTGACCTAGCACTGCTTCTTTTTAAATCTTTCCAGTACTAAGAAAACTAATTTTGTGGGTACATGTTCCTCTGCCATAGGAAACAGGAAAGCCAGCCTTTCTCCTTTGAACTAGGGGCATTGTTCTATTGTCTTGGTCAAGAGAGGTCTTAAGGAGCAATTGAATTTGTAGTTCAGCTATTGCCAGAAAGAACATCAATACTGTTAATTATGCCATAATTAAATCATAGAAATAAGTAATCATTCATCCAAATTTAAAAGGGCAGTTTTAGACAATCTTCCGCAACTAGTTAAATTGAGTTATTCTGCTATTTAAATTACTTTTCCACACTTTTACTTATGTATGGCATCCAATAACTGCCTTCATCAGAAAAAAAAACAAAACAAAAAAACAACAGAGAAGTTCTCTTTAAGGAGGTGTACACAGGTGGGAAGGTCAAGCCCAATGACTTGTCAGACAAAAGTCACATTTTCCCAAGTAGTATGGACTAGAGTTCTTAAGTCTCTCTGGGTATCAGTATCGTGCTCTCAGAGCAGTGGCTTTGAAGTCAGGCTGCTTGGATAGAACCTTTAATTTTTCTAAGCCTCTGTTTTCTCACCTGAAAAATGTGTATAACATTTTCAAACAGTGCCTAGCATATAATTGAACTATTACTCCGACTTCATCCAGCTAGGGGTGTTTTATGTAGATACATATCACATGGGTGTATGACCTGAAGTGGTCAGTCTGTCTGGTCAGGGTTATAAATTGAGGTCTTAACATTCCAATACACAATGACACATTCATTTCTTTGCTATCTTGTATCTAAAGCTTACAGCTCTCATTTTAATAAACACCGGAAAAATCTGTATTGTTTAGAGGATTTGCACATTATTTACAGGTATTTAGCATGTGACCAGCGATTGTTAAAGAATCTGATATTTGAAGAGAATTGCACATAAATTACTCATCAGAGATTCTTCAAGTTCTAATCATGATTTCAGGTCTTAAAGGAAGCACAGCATTATGATTTTGTCAGCCTTATAGAGACAATTTAACAAGTATCAGGTTAGTATGCAAGGGCATCTGCTCTTATTTAAGAACAATATGACAACCAAGTATGTGAATGACTCTTCTGTGTCTCATAAAACCAGGGTTAGATATTTTCCATGTTGTTGTTCAGTTCCCTTTATTAAAGGCTCATGCAATCAATTCCTACTTGTTGTCTGCAGCTGAATTTTATCCATCTTATTGTCAGGAAAAAAAACTGTGCAGTCCAACATGTTTAGCTTTTGCTTTGGCTGCCAGAAAGCTTACAGTCAGTTTATTGCCCATGTGTGCCAATCAGTTTAATTTCAGTGCCTCATTGCCTACTCTCTCCTGTTCCTTCAGCTGTAGTCTGCAGAACTTTACTGCTAATTATCTTATCTTGCCCTATGTCTTAATCTTGAGTCCTTTCTAAAGTAGGAGGCAAGACAATTTTCAAACCTTAAATGAAGAAAGTTAATTAAACAATAGCAGTAACAGCAAAAATATTGGACCAGCATTCTAAGTAAATATAAGTAAATCATTGTATAGATATTTAAGATTTCTGTTCAGAAAGGCTTAAAAGTAAAAATAATAATAATAATAGGGATTTTGTTTTGAGACAGAGTCTCATTCTGTTGTTCAGGTTGGAGCATGGCACCACGATCACTGCTCGCTGCAGCCTCGACCTCCGAGGCTCAAGTGATCCTCCCATCTCAGCCTCCTGAGTAGCTGAGACTATAGATGCATTCCATGATGCCCTGCTAATTTTTAGAGAGACAGGGTTTTGCCATGTTGCCCTGCTAATTTTTAGAGAGACAGGGTTTTGCCATGTTGCCCAAGCTGGTCTTGAACTTCTGGGCTCAAGAAATCTACCCACCTTGGCCTCCCAAATTTGTAGGATTACAGGCACGAGCCACCATGCCCAGCTAGGGATATTTTATATAGATACATATCAAATGTGTGTACGAGAACAAAGAAATCAAATCTAGGGTCAAGCCTGCCTAGGTCTGAATCCTAACTCCACCCTTTACTAGTTGTATGTCCTTAGGAAAGTTATTTATCTTCTTGCTGCCTTTGGTTCATCATCCCAAACTGCAGATAAAAACAACTTCAACTAATGTTGCTATGAGGATTCATGAGATATTTAGGATATGGTAAGCTCTCAATAAATATCGACTTTTACTCTTAAAACTTCCTTTTCTTCATTTATGATAACAATGTATCCCAACAATGTTTACAAGTCCAGTATTCAAGAATTGAATAGTAGGCTTACCTATTTTAAGATGAGATAAGGTATCCTCCCCAAATGCAAAATATTGAAAAATCCTTAATTTTGCTTCCCATAGAGACAAGTAACCTAGAGCATATAAAAATCTTTAATAGGCACAACTAGCCAGGGTAGAAACTGCTGCGATCACGGGAGAAGGACTCAAGGCTTCTCCTTAAGGTAAGGGCCCAAGGTAATCCTTCGGACCAGGGGAGTAAAGCCATGCAGCCCCTCCCCTGATCCTCTGCAGGACATTCTAATACGTAGGGATTGGGAGCAGAGGAGGTAGATCTCCCTTTCTCACATCTGAAAAAAATCTAATGAAGGCTTAGTCTGCTCTTCCGCACAAGCCTACCCTTAAGCAAGGGCCTCCACTCAGTGGCCAGCTTTCTCTATACGTGTGGTCAGAGAAGAGGGGGCCCAGCAGGAGGACACCAGCTTGAGATGCTGACCCTGTGTGGTGAGCAAGCCGCAGACACCCTGGCAGTCAAGAGATAGGTTTACAGGCTGGGGAAGGGGTTGAGGGTGGAGACACATCTGCTGTCTTAGAAAATCCAGTCTCGGCTCTCAACCGTCAGTCACCCTTGGCAGCATCAACCCCCTCATCCCCAGCAGCAGTAACAAATGATCAACAGCACCACCCTCTTTTGGCTCAAAATCATCAGCAATCAGATGACATAGGGAAGAAACAAACAAGCATGTGACTTCTTATGTTCCAGACATTGTGCTTAATGGTTTACATGGAAATCTTATTTAATATACTATGTTATAAACAAAAATGTGAAAGTATGAAAGCTAAATTTCTGCAAGTTGAGATATTTCATTCTTAGTTTACATTGTGATTTTATTACATCCTTATTTAGAGTAGTCACAATAAATTATAGTTTAATTATATTTTTAAAATATCTGTTCCTTTGTTTTTAAATATTCACTCAAGGAAATGGAATCAAAATCCCTTGAAAAAGAGCTTTTGGACTGAGCTAGGAGTCTAGCAGGTCCAGTTACCACATAATTCGAGGCTGCAGTATCCGTTATGGTAAACGCTAGCTACCATATGGCTACTGAGCACTTGAAATATGTCTAGTGCCACGGTGGTACTAATTTTTTATTGGACATAATTGTAATTAATTTATATTTAAAAGCCGAAATATTTTTCCGATAACATAGCTTGATCCCTTTGTAAGATAACGTTTCACTTTATTTCTCACATAAGATGTTACAATATTGTGGTGTATCTGTAGAGCACATGCATCGCTTCTAACATTACATGTAAACTCATCATTAATCTAGTTGATGCCCACATATTGATTCAGTTTAAATAATTTTTTGGCTATATAGCGATGTAGCATTGCAATATGTTTGAGTATTTTATTCAGACAGCACAAGTCAGAGTGACACCTCTATAAATCATAGCAGGTAATGAAAGGAAAATATTATTACTGTAATTATAACATATGTTAGTTATTTTTCTAGTTAAAAACTCAGTATGTATACATTTTAAAATTCAAAATGAAGGCATATTATTTATGCAGAATTGCATAGAGGTGCAGAAGCTAGTACTACAATGGGAACAGAAAAAAGAGAGAGAGAAAGAGAGAGACTGGAAAAAGAGAGAGATTGAATAGCATTGCAATTTGCTAATGTGCAAAACGAGAAAGCTGTTGTATAAAATTTGTTTAAGTGTAATAAAGTATAAAAATATTGAGATGTTTTTGACAACTACATAGTGAATTTGATGAATTTTCTCTCAACATTCAAAAAAGAACTAAATATTTTTTACAGGATCCCAGCTTGTCATTTTGGCCAAATATTATTTTGCTTTGGTTCACACACACACACACAGACACACAGAGTTTTTAGAAAGAAGGGTAATAAAAAAAACTATTTCAGTTATACAATTTTTTAAGAAAATTATGAGATAAAGACAAAAAAGATATCTCACAAAAGTAAGAAATTCAATTAAGACACCAAAAAATTGCTTATAAAATACAAGATCTTTTTTACTACAACAGAGATAAGCTGATTCAAAATCTGAAAAACTGCAAGTTTTGTGGTTGTTGTTTTTAGCTTTCGATAAATCATAAGATATAAAATATACTGCCCTATTAGTGCTTTGGATATATTTTGTCCCTAATAACTTATTAATTTACTAATAATTATTGTCTATTCATGACCTAAAATATTGAACTCATGGCATGAGTATTTTTCAATATTTTATATCCATGGAAGAATTTCAGCTAATTTTTAAAAAATTAGCTTCTAACACAGCAAACAGTTTTCCATCTAAGTTAAGCTAAAAATCAGGCTTATTGGAATTTTTTTAAAAGGATTGATGTTTTCTTTATTTCTTTGTTTCACTGCATGATACATCTTAAAAACATTTATGTTCCTTTTCTGAAGCAAACTCCATGAAATGTGTCCTGGGTACATTGTTAAAATCATTCAGTGCATAAATGCAAGTACAATGAATCATTACAAGTTTATAGAACTGTTGAAAGAAATAGAAGACAATGAGTTCAATGACCTCATGCCTTCTTTGACCATGCTCTTCGGTTGGGTCATTAAAGTTTTACAAAGATTTACTGTACTGCTAATTCCAATTCAATATCTTTTGGAAAATAAAGAAAAATTGCCAAATATTAAAAAATCAAAGACAAAAAATGGCAGTGCGATTTAAGTTTTCACACTGACATCACACTGCATATAAATGAGCTAAACTTGAAAGTCCAAAAAAAGGTAATGCTCATCTGTGGCTTCTCTGGACAGATACAAGATTTTAAGTTGAAATGAAAACTTTTCATAATTTAATCGATAATAATGATCTTTATCATTTTCTTATATGAGTCAATATGCAGAAGATTTTAATTGTAATGGATAGCATTACTTAAATTGGCTACTAAAACTGCAAGAAAAAGTATGAAGAACTCATTGTAGATACTTAGAAATAGGTGCTTTTCAATCTATCAATACAATTTGGAAGTCGATATTAATAATACTGAGTTCACACAAGAGTTAGTGAATTAACTTTGATAGTTTTGAAACGGATACTTTTGCTTTAAATTGACTTTAAAGCAATTAAGATTAAAAGAAAAAAGCTGAACCAGTTTTGTACATATGGATGCAAATATTAAAGAATGATTTTTCAGTTAATGGAAAACATTGTAAGTATATTTGGAACACCTTAGGTATGTGAATATAGTTTTACAACTGTAAATTTTATAAAATCATACACTTTAACTCAATTATTTCCCATAAAAATTGAGCATCTGCATTTGGTGAGCTGTAAGTGTACATTTAGTAAGGAGAAATAAATCTAAAATATCTAAATATTTTTAGATTGATTACATATTGAAAGATAGTATTTGGAGTGTATTAAGTTATTTTAAGTTATATTATTAAAATTAATTTGTCTTTAACTTTTTTTTTTTTTTTTTTGAGACAGGGTTTCACTCTGCGACTCTGAGACAGAGTCGCCCAGGCTGGAGTGCAGTGGGGGGTGATCTCGGCACACTGCAACCTCCACCTCCCAGGTTCAAGTGATTCCTTCACCTTAGCCTTCTGTACCTGAGTAGCTGGGATTAAAAACAAGCCACCAGGCGGGTGAATTTTTGTATTTTTAGTAGAGACAGGGTTTCTCTTTGTTGGCCAGGCTGGTCTCCAACTCCTGACCTCAAGTTACACACCCGCTTGGCTCGACCCCTACCATCCCCTCTCCCCCCACTTTTTTGGTAACTTTTAAAATCAGGTTACTAGAAAGTTTTAAATGACAAATGTGACATGACATATTTCTAGGGAGCACTGGTCTGGGGGAGTCTATATATATACAAATTGCCTCCTCAATAAATACTGCACTTAAGGGCTTTAAAAGGCAAGAAGGGGCCGGGTGCGGCGGCGCTTAGGCCTGTAATCCCTGCACTTTGGGAGACCGAGGCGGGCCAGATCCGCTTGAGCTCATGAGGTCGAGACCAGTCTGCTTAACATGGCGAAACCCCGCCTTTACCTAAAAATACAAAAATTAGCCGGGCATGGTGGCACACCTCTGTAAACCCAGCTACTCAGGAGGCTGAGGCAGGAGAATGGCTTGAACTCAGGAGGCGGAGGTTGCAGTGAGCTGAGATGGCGCCACCATACTCCAACCTGGGTGACTCTGTCTCAGAGTCTGGGAGGGAGACTTTGTCACACGGGCAAGGAAGGGAAGAAGCCAGTCTGGGTGAGTAACAGATACGCCGACTACTGCAAGAAAGCTTTGCCCTGAGTGCGTATGTAAGTGCTTATCGGCGCTTGCCATTGTCTTCCTGCTCTTTCCTTTTTTTTTTTTTTTTTGTGGAGTCTGTTTTGTTTTGTTTTTAAACTTTTTTTTTTTTTGGCATAGTCGCTCACGCCTGTAATTTTTTTTTTTTTGAGGTGGAGTCTTGCTGTGTCTCCCAGGCTGGAGTGCAGTGGCGCGATCTTGGCTCACTGCAACCTCCGCCTCCCAGGTTCAAGGGATTCTCCTGCCTCAGCCTCCCCAATAGCTGGGACTACAGGTGTGCGCCACCACGCTCGGCTTATTTTGTGTTTTTAGTAGAGGCGGGGTTTGGCCATGTTCCCCAGGCTGGTCTCAAACTCCTGAGCTCAAGCGGATCCGGCCTGCCTCGGTCTCCCGAAGTGCTGGGATTACAGGCATGAGTCACAGAGCCTGGCCTCCTCTTCTAACTATGAAAGAAAATGAAAGAGGAAGGTCACTTCGGAGCTTAAAGCCAGATTTCCTCTGAAAGTCTAGCTGGCGAGTACAAATGCGTCAGAGTCTATTCAGGGCAGCAAAGAGTATAATAGAATGCCTTTTCTCTAGTAAGTATAAGTAAATAACTACAGGCTTTTGACCCAAGAACTATCAGAAGTCCTGAAGCAGAGAAAGAAAGAGACTCTAGTTTCTGAAACTCCGAAAAGCTAGGACTTTGTAGCGCTGGACACTTAAAAGGTTGTTTTTACTAAGTAAGAAAAATCGGGTTAGGTAAAGAAATGGTTAGAACTACAGTTGAAGTTTAATCCGAGATAGATACTCAATTTGCCCTTCCGTGTTTTTATTTCTTTAAATTTCGCTCTAAAATATATAAGCATTATAAACAACGATACGTCATTAATAATGACCTAACAATTTATGCTCTTATTTTGAGGACCACGTTTGGGGTGTATATCAACATGAATATGACCAGATTGCTATTTTCTTCCTGGTTATGGCTGGGGAAAGCTTTTGTTCAGAGAGGGGAGTGGTGTGGAGAAATAACCCAGTTACCTGGTGGCAGATACAAGGCATCCAGACATGGAAACTGGGAGGTAACAAACACGTTCTGGTGCAAGCTTACAAGCCCAGCCTTGGTGCTCTGTCTGCGTTGTAAGTGGCTCCCTGCCTCCAGTGCCTGGCGCCATGCCTGGCACCATGTGGGCGGCCAGCATCATTTGCTGGACTGAATTGTAAAATGAGGTCATTTCCACAAAGGGATTTGTTGTCTGATCAGAAGACAGAATGCAAACCATAAGAAAATGAATATAATGGTTTGTCTTCCTTTTTGTGTTTTTGTGTTTTGTTTGTATATATTTTGTTAATTAAAATTTT